TCCTCAAAATATTCGTATCCGCAAGGATTTGTCAGTAACCCATGCGAATAAGAGGTTCGGGTTGCAACAGATCCCGCAGTTACCGTCAACGGACAGACTGAGTCAACATCTTCGCGGACTAAGCCTCAATACCGCGATGTATCCACGAGCCCAATCACAAGAGCCGAAAGACCACCCATTTTCATCAACAGGTGAACTTCTCAACATCGTTCCGATTTCTCGTCCCAACCCACGCGATCCCCTGCTGGAGATGGCACGAACAATCTTTTTCTCTATCCATCGGATACACTGGCTCATCGAAGCTCTATCAGATTTCACAAGCGACGGAGATTCTAGACGATCAAGTCTTCAGATGGTAGCATATAACGCAAGCCTCCATCTTGGCGAGCTTGGAGAGCAGATTCAGATATACGCCACCCAGGGTGATGAGATCTCGAAGATGAAACAAAACATCAACCAGATCAGGCGCGCTTGCAGTGTTCTAACAAAGGCGTATGTTCCGATCTGTTCACAGATCTGTCGAAATATTGAAGTTCTTGTCGAACGGGCAGAGGGGCGCTTTGTTAGCGACCTGATCTGCAGCCTATACGCTGGTGTCATGGGACTGCGAGCCGAATTTCTTTGTTTCCAGAATCAAGTTACTTTCCAGCAGACTACTGAACTTGTCTCCGTAAAAGGACAAACACGAGAAAACCCAGGTGGCAAATCAAGTCCATCTATTCGGAAAACTGGTCCAGGACACGCTAAACGCCCCTCAAACGACGACGTAGCTCCTCAAGAGCATCCGTGGACACCTCCACCACCAGCACGTACATTGACATTGGATGGGGAATCCGAGGTTCTTCATCAGTTATACACAGCTCTATGCCGACTATGCAAGCTCATTCCAGAGACTCTACCATCTACCAGCCGCAGGTTTCAAGCACAGATCCAGAACATAAAGACGCAACACTCTGCCCTAGATGCGTGCTCCAGAGTCATCAGATTATCAAAAACTGTCAAGCAAAGTCTTGAACTTATCCATATGAACTTGAGCGCTCCGCTTCGCAACCTCTATTATCAACTTGTTGACGCCTGGGCTACCTTTGGTGGTGTTGTGAAATCGCTCAACAGCCAACTGAGTCTTGACCCAGATTCAAGAAAGGGACTTCAACAAATTCAGCAACTTGTCAAAGAAGTGATGCACTGCTTGGGAATTCTGCCGATAGAGACGAATGCTAACGCAGCATTTAATGATAGTCTTCCGTTGACACCACAGCAGGCCTCGCTAGGACCGGCAGTCCAAGCGACAATCTCACAATCGCCATAATCTCAGCCTACACTTTATAGGTATAGACCTCGTTATAGAGAAAACAACTCTGCATAGCATGCGTTATGCCAAAGGGCAGGGATCCTATGACTGACTCGCTTTACTGCTGTTAATTAAAGCTGGCTCAATATATAAAGAGCTTAATTACTTTCTTTTAGTATAAAATTATTTAATAATTAAATTTCAATCTCTTTAACTATAAATTTATTCTTAAATTAAAAATAAAGTTCTAAAGAATATATTTAGTCTTTAAGAATTAATTCTCTATATAGAACTGTTAACAGTTATTAAGTAACCAGTGCTTCACAACTAGGGCAATTTCTGAAAATTTGTTGACCTTCGTCTGAATAACAGAAAAAAGGGCGGCAGCAACGATCGAAAACGGTCAATACCGTAGAAAGCATGTGCTGGATCATTATTGACAAAGAAAACTTCTGCCATTTTATTCGCAACCCGTCCTATTTCACAAGCCGGCTTCATTTTCTTGTTCGAGAGGCATGAACACAACTCGCATAACTGATCAAGATCTCGACCACCTGCGCATCATTGCTGAAACTGAGATATTAAATAAAAACTGTATTCAGGACCTCAACCAGATGTTGCTAGAGCAGCAAGAAAGGCTACAACCCAAGAACGCACCTTGCGGTGTCCTTGGTTTCGTTGGGTGAACGACCGCCGAGCCAACACGCACGAGGCTCACCCCAAAACATTTCAATAGGCCCTTGATCTGCCTGCACAAACTGTTGCTAAGTAGGATGATCTCAGGACTTGGCCCCAAATTATATCAAGCGTGTACTGGCCGGCCGGAAAAGCAGGAAGTGGGACATGAACTTGATGAATTATTTGCTAGGCCACGAGTACCTGAAGGGGCTGGTTCGAATTTGTTAAGGTGGCTCAAAGCTGCTTTAGCCAGACGTGTTATTTGCAGTTGAGACTTGTGGCTGAGAGCTTTCGTCACCACAGACGACTTGGCAGATTGATGCCCTAATTTAGTTAAATTGACTTGCTACTCGTTCTCTTCAGTGACGCCAACGCTTTGACATCAGTTGCCAGAAGCTTGTATTGGCTGAGAGATAACTTGCTCGGCTATGACTTCGTTCCTCGGACCGTGCTCGGGCCGTGCAAGCCGTGTTTTCGAGCCGTGTGTGCAAGTGGTTGGCATTGCACCTGCTATACCTGGACTTAGCTTCGTGCGGGGAAAACAGGATGAAGATAGTCTAATTTAAGTCTAAATCCAAGCTTTCTGGCCATGGCGAATCGGAATATCTCCTCTTTGCAATTACCCCAGAGCGCCAAGAGCTGCTTAGCCTCATCACGATGATCTAGACTGTGGGGGATCAGATCTTCAGTCTTGGAGGGGATCGCATTGATGTCTGTGATCATCCCTTGTATTGGTATAAATACGACCCAAGAAGACGCACCAAAAGAGTACAGATCAGCCTTCAAACCACTTCTTTATTCCATACACCCACTGTTCCAGCTTATCTCTGACCTAACCGCCGCTATGAAAGAGGACGCAGCAGGCAGTGATAAAGCAAGTGTTAATATTGCTGAAACGAATGACAATGCGAAAGCGTCCTTGGCCGAGGGCGCAGGCTTCACCGAAGCCGACACCAACAGACTGATCCGCAAGATCGACTGGTCCATCATTCCATTCGTCTCTCTACTCTACCTCCTCTCGTTCCTCGACCGCACCAACATCGGCAATGCTCGCCTGGATACCCTCGAGTTAGACCTCAACATGTCAGGTCTAATGTACAACCACGCACTCGCCATATTCTTTCCCTTCTACATCATAGCAGAAATTCCATCCAACATGGGCATGAAGCGATTCAGGCCCTGGATCTGGATCCCCTCTATGATGGTTGTATGGGGCATTTGCTGCACCCTGATGGGCATAGTCCATAACTACGCTGGTCTGTTGGCTGCAAGAAGCTTCCTTGGTCTAGCAGAGGGCGGTTTGTTTCCGGGAATCGCCTATTAGTGCGTCTCCTTCCGATCGCGAACCTCTTGTATCGTAGGCTAACATTTCCAGTATCACCATGTGGTACCGCCGCCACGAGTGTGGCTTTCGCATGGCCATTTTCTTTTCTGCTGCGACGGCTGCTGGTGTATTTGGCGGCTTTCTCGCCCGTGGAATTATGGAGATGCGAGGTCTGGCAGGCTTGGCTGGCTGGCAATGGATCTTTATCATCGAAGGTCTTCTTACTGTAGCAGTCGGTACGTGTTCCCTTTGACATATCCGCTTGAGATTGATGTTAACAGTTGTGACCTGCAGCACTGGCCTCATTCAAGCTGATGGCTGATTATCCCGACCGAGCCAAGTTCATAACAGACGCAGAGAGGAAACATATCCAAGAACGCTTGATGCTTGATCGATCGGGGCTAGCCGAAGAGTTCGAAATGAAATACGTCTGGGATGCGTTCAAAGATTGGAAGATCTGGGTGCATATGCTTATCGCAACTGGCACATTTACCGGTGTCTACTCCTATTCTCTCTTTCTACCCACCATCATTCGCGATCTCGGGTATTCCAGTACAACAGCCCAGCTTATGAGTACTCCTCCATATTTAGTCGCGTGTTTCGTGTGTGTCGTGGCTGGCTGGTGGGCGGACAAGATCCAACAGCGAGGAATATTCATGATTATATTCATCACCATGGCGTAAGTAACCATTGGACCTTGATACTTGTGGCTACCTACTGACAACTTACCAGTGGACTTGGCCTCATTCTCCTCATGGCCGTGCGCCATTCTGGAGTTCGCTACTTCGGCTGCTTCCTCCTCGCCTCGGGCATATTCCCATCTGTTCCCCAAGGCATTGCCTGGAACAGCAATAACATCGGCGGATCACTCAAGAGAGGCGTCGGCATCGCGATGAACGTGAGCTGTGGCAACCTCGGCGGCATCATTGCATCCTATCTGTTCATGACCAAGGATGCTCCAAGATATTTCCCAGGCTTCGGTACTCTCTTGGGCTGCCAGGTGATGGCATTGCTCTTGTCTGTCTGGATGGCTATCTACCTACGCCGTGAGAATGCTCGCCGGGATGCTACACATAAGGATCCCAGTTTATATACCGAAGACGAAAAGCATGCTGAGCGGGAGAAAGGCGATAATGCCACATTCTTTCGGTATACAATCTAGCAAGTAGGATCAATTTACAATTCTTGGCAACAAAAAGCCGCCCATAGTAACAACTATCAGTACTGGTATATATAATAACCGCACCAGCTGGTAGCATACCAGGATGGTTGAGTTTCCAAAAATAGATTGGTTACCAGATTAGCAAAAACATACAACAGCGGGGATTCGCTGGTCGTCACCGACCCAACTACTAATCCGCCGGTTAGTGGCTTAACTATGGGAGAGCGGACGGGATCCCGTGGTCTACACTACCTATGGTCGTATGTACCAGTCGGTCGCGCATTACGACGAATATCCATGGTCTCTCGTAACAGATTTCAGTAGACATCATACCCTTATGCCGACGCTGGCAAGCATCACGAGATGGTAGATTCAGGCTTCATATTCATACACCGTGGGTATACTCCAGTTGACTGCGTGGCCAAACTTCAGTCATATTTATACCTAACATGCTATGGTGTTTCTGATCCGCGTGCAATGCTCGATCACACGGTTCCTCAAAGCACAGCAATCTCTCAAAGTGTAGCATTTCCTGAGCACCCTATTCAGTCAGCTTCATCAGGTAGTGCTTTTCTATATGCACCTGGAATCATTCTTCTCTTGGGAACGTGACTCTCCCTTCTTGACGCTTGTTGGCCGCGGCCGGAGCCTCTTCCCCGATTTCCAGCACGAGCCATATGTCGCTCCGGCTGCGAAGGACCTGGTCCGTACTTGACAGTTTCCTGCTCATCATCAGGGTAGTACTTGTTATCCCTAAAGTCTTGGTCATAGTTCTGCGCCGGCTGTTTGCCTCGCGCGGTAGGACGGCCTTGATAGCCCTCCTCATAATCATCCTCTTCATCAAACGACGGTCCGTTCTCAAAGTCCCTACCATCGTCGTCGTCCTGCATGAGCCCTTGATCATCATCATACCCATGGTATTCGTTGGAATATCCGTACTCTTCTGCAATGTCCTCATCATCCACGTGCTTTTCTTGTTGATACCGTGGTCCTCGTGTCTGCTTGTCTCCTCTTCCACTTGGTCTCGGACCATACTGCTGTCCATATTCTGGCTTGCCCGCTGCTCCATACTCTCTTTGTCTTGAAGCAAGGAGACTAGCTGACTCACCAAGACCCCATCGATCATGACGCAGACGGTAGTTCTTAGCTTGTTGCGCTGCACTGACACCATGTACTTCCCGAAGATACTTTATGAATGCCAGATATGCCTTGGCAACGTCTTGGAAGTGCTTTTCTGCCAGCTTGACCTTGATCATCTTCTTCGACATGGCTGCGAACTCCATGACGTTACGCCCGCCGCTCGCCCCTGGGTTAGCTAGCTTTTGGCCCTCAAATTCAGCCAGTGCTAACGCTGTCTGACAAGCATTACGGATCTGACGACCGTTCCAGCGTGCATCCTTATTCTTCTCAAAATAGCGATGGATGAATGTGGCGATCGACAGCTCATCTAGCTCAAGCTCGGCTTCCCCTCTTTCTTTCTTCTTCTCGAAGCGGGCTTTGATGCGCGTGAGATTCACCTTGAAGACGGCAACTGTGGATTCTAGGTTGAGAGGAGGGTAGTATAGACTGATGTGGATGCGTGACGTGAAAGCTTCGTCGAAGGTGCCGACACGGTTGGTGGTGAGGAAGAGAATACCGGTATAGTACTCGAGGGTCCGAAGGAAGACTGGGGTGAGATAATGTGGTTAACTCACTGCCATGTTTCAGGAAACCTTTAACTTACCAGCTACAAGACTGTTACGATCAAAGTTCTCTGTCTGCCGAGCCTCGAGGAAGACATCAGCTTCGTCGATTAGCAGAATGCACCCCCATCGACTCGCCAGAGCAAAGTTCTTCTCCAAGCGACTCTCAACGACGTCTGCTGTAGACCCCAAATCGCCTATAAGACCACATTAGCGATCACACTTCAAGCTTGGTAGATTAAGACCGTCCGTACCGCAAGTTATCTGGAATAACGGCTTGTGGAAGTATGTCGCAACGCATTCTGTCCAAGTCAGTCGACGCCCCGTGTATGCCGCAGCAGTTCAAAAAGCTTACCCGCTGTCGTCGTCTTTCCTACTCCAGGTGCTCCATGCAAAAGCAGAATCAAGCCCTTGCCTGCGCTGTGTGTCAGTCGTTGTCAATAACCATTAGACTGGGACTTCGTACCTTTTCCACGGACGATATCCACTTCATCCGTCTCATCGTAAGCAGACGCCTTGTCCAAGAAATGCTGAGTCACCAGACTCTCCACCATTTCTCTGTGTCCAGTTGGGAGTACGAGTAGGTCGAAAGTATTCTGCCCCTTCATGGGTCCGAGGTAGGTTAAGTCAAGCTTAGCTGTAAGTAGCTCACGTCAGTTCAGCGTCTGAAATAACCTGACTCCTTCAGGAAGACATCAGGTCCGATACCAGGTCTAGCTTCAGAGTATGGTACTCACCCCACTTTCTACTCCTCATAATAAACCCAAAAACCCTATAACTGGTGATCAACTTGTCATCATCAGTGATATAATCCTCATCCTCCATCGCCTCTCTCAAAGGCCTCGCCGTGATAGTCAATGACGGCATCCCCTCATTCAAATCATCCTCCCAAAACTGACTCTGCACAAATTCACTGCTCCTATTATGCTCCACGAAAACATCATCGTGAACGTTCTCGTTCGAACAACACTGTGGAAGACAAGTTCGATTCATCTGAGCCCGGCGTCCGCGAGTACGCTCACGATCGCTGCCTTCGCTGTCATATGAGGAGGCCGTATCGTAGTCACTTCCTAGGTTGATGTCTTTGAATTCGGGTTTCCAGTTTGTTTGCACGTCATGCAGATATAGCTGCATCTCATCCTTTATACTGCCGGCAAAACATTCGAGGACCAGCTTTTCGATCGTCCAGCCTGATGGCTTGGTTTTGCCCCCGACATCGTTGCTGGCGAATGCTTCTTCGAAGTCGATCACGACTTGACTGTCAATTTCTTCCTGTGCTTCTAAGGAGAGGCCCGAGTAGTGCATCGGAATACCACGACGCTGAGGATCGCACGCTTCAATAAAGATGGAGCCTCGCTTGATCAAAGCCTCCTTGAGGTTGCGATTCTTGGCCCGTCGTATAGGAACGATCGAAAGAGACCGAATACTCCTTTCGCCTTCGTACCGATGAATATCTATGGTCTGTGTAACGGGACCGATCCGTTCTCCATCAAAGTCTAAGAAAACACACTGAATAGTAATTGGCGAATCATCAAGCTTGGCTTTTGCTTCTGCCATCCAGAGGTTTCTTCCGGTTGGTGGCTTCATGCTGTGCGTCGCGTATTTGACTTGGATAACGCGATATGCCTGCTTCTCGTCCTTGCTGACCACAAAGTCACCTGGCTTAAAAAGGTGCCAAATGTCACTCCATATGACCTTTGTGCACTCTTCGTTAGCGAGATAGGCCAACTTGTCTTCCAGGTCATGGTCAATGAAGTTGACTAGGCAGTTGAGGTCGTTCAAGGCTTCTTGCGTGTTTATGAGACTCTCTTCATCGTCAATTTCGACGTCCTGACTACTACTCCCACTGTCCGTTCTTTTGTCTTCCTTGGTATCAGTTTCCTCTTCTTTCTTGTTAGGGATTTGGCCCTTTAATATACTTTCAAAGAAATCGACAAGATCGGGGTTTGGGCTTTTGTTTGCGGATTCCTCTTTCTGGGGCTTATCTCCATCATCCTCCATTTCTTTTTCGTTTGCAGAGGCCTCTTCTGCTACACTGGGCCCCGGCGTCTCATCGGTAGTAGTCTTTTCTTCGGCAGTGTCTGCTTTGTCTTCCTCCTCATTTTGCGTCTTTTCGGCTTCTATCTGAGCCTTTATGACTTTCTTCTCAAGATCATCTCTCCATTTCCGGATCTCGTCCTTGTACCAGATCAGTCCTCGAAATGGCCTCATCATCAAGACTGGCTCGAAGTCGGTTGAGATTTTCTCCTGGAATATCTTACTCAGAATTACCAGTATTGCCGTCGAGTTGATACGAATACGTTCTGGTAGTGGTCCCTGGCCACGAGACATGGTTCTACCAGTCTGCTTTCGTAGATTTGCCGCTGCCGAAGAACTGGCAGTAGCGCCAGTAGCATCGACTGTTTTGTCGAAGCCGTATCTTGCAGCTTCTCCTCTAGTGCGATACCGAAGACTGGGGAGTGTGACCTTGACGTTGGGCTCACCAACCAGTACATCTACCGCAAATCTACTGGACTGATCCGCGACCTCAAGAGACTGTTGGAACTCAGCCCATGGTACACGATTCAGCATCGAAGTGCTGGGTGGTCCGCTTTTTGACAGCGGAGCCTGATAATCTTGTCCCGGGTGAGCGAGTCTCCAGGCTTGAACAGCCTGCCTCTCGGCTTCCCGTGCATAGTGAAGAATCTCAATTTGATCCAGTTCCTCGGCGAAGTCTTGAGGAACCTTTTCGCCGACATAGGCGTGATGGCTTCGAGTGAAGGGCATCCCGTGTGCTTTGACTTCACGCGTGCTCCAGCTTCTGAACTCATAGTCTTCCTCCAATGCATCCTCAAGTTGCTCTCGCTCTTCTTGGTGTATCATCTTGAGATCCTGGATCTGGCGATTGAGCCGTTTGATCTCGGCCTGCATGTCACCAGTCTCGTCACGAGGGGTCGCATTTCCAGACAGCTTCTTCTGGTTCTGACCTGGGAGCAACTTGCTGGAGTCATGAGAGACATCAGCAGCGGTCTTTGAGTTTGATATTGGCTCATCAATCGCTTCGTCGGGTACGCTGTTGGTGGGTTTGTCACTGCTCCCAGTTGGAGCCTGAACATCCAGCGGAGGAGGCATCGGAGTGGTTTCTTCCATTGTACTCATGGCTCTATGGATCACAAATTGATGGTGCTTAAATGATTTTGTTCTGGATGAATTAAATCGCTCAGTGGGAAGGCCCGCGGTTGGAGGTCCGAATGAAGACCAGAGCCTGATTCAAAAAGTGGTTGTGCAGGGATTAGACTGTGTGTGACCAAGTTGTGAAGAGGCTGATCAGGCAGGAAGGAATATGCATGTAAGACAAGTCACATCACCATGCATCCTCCTTACAACACAGAATTTGCTCTTATCTTGAGCCAGATAAACCTCAGACGCTGGTCTAATACGTCCGGCCTTTTTAACTCGCCGCTTTCCATTCATTCCTAGAACATAAAGACGCTGTAACTAGAACTCCTGATCTCAGAAGTACAAGGTTATGATCTTATTTTCTGGTGTGATGTGAAGGTCCTGGGAGCTCTGAGCGCTTCGACGATGCATAAGACCCTGGTTGAAAGAAGCTTGTTGATTGGATAGTACCCTATCTTCCTGCATAAGCTAGCGGCTACTTCTGCAATATCCACCGGAGCTGAAACAGAATAACCAATTTTTGCTGACCACCTTCGGAGACGAGCTGCCATTAATAGACTGACACAGAAATCTTTAGCGGAGGAGCTACGTGGAGACCATAGCGCGAGCGGGGTGGTGATTCTACGTGGCCATCGCTCAAGGGCAGAACAAGCAGAGTTGCTCCCACTTATCCATCTTACGCTATGACATTGTTCAGCTTGAAAAAACGTTCTACGTCAGAAAACGCACTGCGACTCATCTCTTCTGTACTGGTGCCTTTCAGTTGTGTCAAGAATCAGGCTGTGCTGACGAAATGGGGCTGAGTTCCTGATGCGCCAAACACTACATCACTTCCTCTCAGCGGCACTCAAGCTTGCTGTTCATGGTCAAACTCATGGCCGACAGCCAGAATAAGAATAGAGGCTTCATAAGACGGCAACCGTGTCTTGAGTTCATTGATGAACGTCTGCCCGAATTTCATGAGGCTTTTGCCAACCCTGACGTCCAATTCAGCACATCTCGGGGACGATTCGAGCCAATGACACATAACCAAGATCCAGCCCCTGGCTCCCAACCGCCCAAGGAGCATGAGCTTCCAGACATACTGCCCGAAAATGCCTCGGAGGACTCTGACCGGCGACCTTTTTGGGAAGAAATGCTCCCTGAAGCGATGGAGGAGCTCAAATCCAGCCGCGACGAGCCAAAGAGCCTTGCCGGTACAACGCGAAGTATTCGGGGCTTGGAAGGATGGGTTGACATTGTGAATGGACTCGAAAAGGCCAGGGCAAATTACTACGATTACTCAGGGTTTATCGGATTCTGGAAACGGTCCGCACACAAAATGGCAGACAATGTTGATGATGGAAAGAGACTTCTCTCTCTTCTGCCGAACACGGACTACTCTTCAGTGATTCACTGTGTATTTGACATTGTTTTTGACGTGAGCTCAGAAGGCCCATGCCTCCCGACATCCCTCAGTGACTAACTTGATACAGGCTGCTAAGAGGACAGCTAAAATTCGAGAAGAGATTGAATCAAGCCTTCGCCAATTCCGAGAGAAGTTGGAGGATGTTGAGAGTATAGTTGCTGTTTACGAGAAGGAAGAGGATATCGTTGCTGCCGCGAAGAAGGTTCTTAGCTCAATGCTCCAGGCGATCGAGGATATCATCGATTACTACTGGGCGAAGAAAGGTAATTCTCATCCATATACTCGGACGACCATCTACTGATCCATCTGCAGGAAAGAAAATGCTTCTGTCGATGTGGCAAGCGGATAGCTACAAGGCTGATCTAACGGGCTGCCTAGAGGACCTTAATTCCAGCAGTGCAAGACTGATGGAGAAGGCCAATATCGGAAGTTTCCGTGAGCTTCGATCAGTGAGTATCAAAGCATCAGAAGGTATTGTTACTTCAATCCAAGAGTCAATCTATAGGGACTAACTCCACGCCAGGGATCGAGAAGTTGAAACAGCTCCAGCTGGATCAGATGAAGATTGTGAGAGAACAAGGAAGACTAGCAGATGCCCAGTCAGAGATGAACAAATCTGGTCGCAAAATAGCAGCAGAACAACAAAGACTAGCCTCAGCCATCGAACGCAATGCTACTGCGAATGAAAAAAACGCCGCAGCTAACATGGCCAACGCCACAACTGCGTCTAATGCCATGAATGCATTCATGCGGCTATCACAAGAGTATCTCACCAACCTCACTGCTTTGAACGGTTGGTGCTCACCTCTGCATCAATTTCAAAAGATTCACTGACGCATCTATGTGATAGAGCAAAAAAAGCAAAACGCAAGACTTGCAGTTCAGTATACACGACTTCATACCCAGCTCGAAGCAGAGCGATCTCGCAGCCGAGACCGAAGACCTTGGATCGGTCCAGCACGTGTATCGCAAGCTCAGCTTCTACGAATTCTTAACATGAACTTGGAATTTGACCTCTCTGCCGTTGACAAAGTCGACATGGTGGAGATCTCAAGCTCAGCTGCACTCGTGAATCGCCGTGATCAAGGGAGGGCTGAGCATTTGGTTGAGAACGCACAGTTCAAGCAGTGGGTCGTCAGAACGAGCTCTACTGAACTGCTGGTTCACGGACACATGAAGCCAAGTCGAACGAGTGTCACGCCTTTGTCGTTATTTAGTGCCGCTATTGTGCGAAATCTTCGACAAGTCGATCGTTTCTGTGCCGTTGCGTTCTTTTGTGGACAGCATACCGGCCTCGATGATCCACTGATTGGCGGCATCGGACTCATCAAGAGCCTCACAGCGCAAGTTCTTCGTCAGCATCGCTTTGATAATGCGGATCTTGATAAAGTCGCTGAAGAAGTTAATATTCCTTTTTTAAGGAGAGGAGTTGAGGACATTGGGGAGCTATGCCAGCTGTTCTCTGTCCTTGTTCGTCGCTTACGCAGTGATACAACACTCTTTTGTGTTATCGACAGTGTGAATGTTTATGAAGATGAAGATATGTTACAAGGCATGTATGTGGAGAAAGTACTGTTTGAGATACTGCAGTTGACGGGCGACCAAAGGGTGAAGACGCATGTGAAGATTCTGTTTACCAGTGCCACAGACACGAGCACAATCTGGAAAGCGTTCAAAGAGAAGGATGTGCTATCTATGCATGAGTCTGGTCGCTTCAGTTTGGATAAGCATTTTAGTGATGAACGGTTTGCGAAGCAGGTAAAGGGGGCTCTTGAACCGTATTAATGGTATAATGTGCAAGCTGTGAGCCAGATATGTTATTTGCAGCAGCGACTTGCGGCTGAGAGCCTATGTCGCCAGAGAGAGCTTAGAGCGGTTTTAAGCGATCGAATTAAAACCAGAATCCTATTGACTGATATTTCTTAACTTGTGAGCCCAAACAACTTTCACCAGTCTCCAACTAATTTAGCTAGCTAGGCTAACGATAGGGTTGCCGATGTTGAGGTTAACGGTACCCCAAGATTGGCATGCATTGACAACCGTAGCATCTCCTGCATTGGCAAACCCTTCGACAATCGGTTTCTTGCTGGGGGGAGGAGGCGGAGCTACAAATTCCATCGCCGTGCCCTCAGAGTCAACGTGGGGCAAGACCTGAACTCCATGGGGCCACTGGAAGATGTTACCCTTATCCCAGTATGTCTTGATATGTTGCAGTCTCTCTCGATTGACACCATAGTATGCCTTCTCGTACGTATTCGCGTCGAGTGTCGCATCTGGGAAGTTGATATACACACCGAGCCCGTCCATAGAGTACTTTCTCAGAGCCTTATTGAAATCCGCCAGGATGCCTTTCATCCTCTTCTCCAGCCACTTGTCCTTCCACTCAATCATGATGTATGTGTGATAGTCACATCCACGCCAAGGATATGCAGAGTCCCGGGGCGCCGTTTCACTGGCTTTACCACCGGAATGAATCCAAGTGACTTTGATTGAGCCCTCTTCTCCTTTGAACTCATTTTTGAAATCCACCATTCCCCTTTTCAGAGTGTCGATTATATCAGGAATATTCTTCTCGACGCTGGCCTTTGTGAAAGAGAAGGAGGTGAAGATCCTGAACATCGCGTTTAAAGGCAACGCTTTCTGAGTTTCCTCGGACCACTGAGCTACAAGGGTCTCGTGAAGAAACAAGGTCGAAACCTCCGGTAAAGTTCGATCCTTGAGTTGTTTTGCCAGTGATTTGTCCGTCACATCACCCTTGCCGCAATCTCCGAGACGCTCATCGACCTCTTTGTCAAAGTCTGTCTCCAGTCCATTATAGTAGACCAAAAACTTAACAGACGGATCTTCGCGGGAATCCTTGAGGTCCAGCAGCCAGCTGCTGTCGATGGTCATGTTGGTGCTCCAATTAGCAGTGTAGAACTTTATCATAGCTTCTTTAAAAGCCTCCTGGTGCTTGGGTTCATGAGATGGTGCCCAGTTATAAACCCCAGCAACCACAAAGTCATGGTGGAGCTCTTGAACCTTCATCTTGAGCTGGGTAACTACCCCAAAGTTATTGCCACCAGCACCACAAAGAGCCCAGAAGAGGTCTTTCTTTTCTTTTTCTTTGTCTTTGGAGCTGACCTTTATGGCTCCACGGTCTGCAGTGACAATGCGAGCCTCAAGAAGCGTGTCACTTCCCAAACCGAAGCTTCGAGTAAAGGGCCCGAGACCTCCACCCAGGGTGAAACCACTGACGCCGACACTAGGGCAACGGCCTCCATTGATAATCAGTTTATCTTGATGGTCGTTGATCAGTTCGTGATATGCATGAGCCCATAGTGCGCCCGCATCCATAGTGATGGTCATATTCTCCTTGTCGAAGTCGACTCGTTTCATATTAATCAGGTCAATGGAGATGCCATTGTTGATAGCAGAGAACCCGGCGTATGAGTGGCCTCCATTCTTGATTCGAAGAGGTAAGCCTACCGCCTTAGCCCGTTGAACGATGATGCGAACATGGGATTCATGCTCAGGTTGAATCACACAACCAGGTCTTTCAAAGCGGTAGAAGAGGTTCGAGTTTGCCACCGATTTCTCGTACTCGAGCTCTCCAGCAGTGTAGACTGGGATCTTCTTTCCCCTGAAGAATCCCACCTGTTGCAAGCAGAGCTCAAGGAGACGTCTCTGTTTTTCTTTCTCCTCCTCCGGCTGCTGAGGTACTTCAGGTCTTTGAGAGGCCATTGTGTTAGCTGTAGTGCGAAACGAAGTTTGCAAAGATATTCAATATTGAAAGGAAAGATCAGTGAGTTGCTTGGTCTGCTTTCTTGGACTCGGAAGAAGTCAAAGATAAGCTTTTATAGATGGTTCAGAAGGCCGAGTAGCGCTCTGCAGGCATGCCCAACGCTAACCTCTTGATGAGCTACACGGAGACTGTCGCATATATCACATTCCATCACATATATCACAATCAATGTCTCAGCTTCCATCCACAGAAACCACACTATGCAGCCGCTCTTGAGAGGGTTTGCCTCTATACCGATTCTTGGCTCTCGGCGCTAGTGAATATGGGCAGATCAATAGTCTGGTCTAGACGTCGCCATCTTTCGGGCAGACCAATAGGAGTAATACGATAAGTTCCGGAGGAGTCCACTCAGCCAGCCCGGTTTTGCCTCTTTCAACAACCCCTCATTTTTCAGCTAGCCACAATCAATGATGATCACCAGACAGAACTTAGCTTCCAGAAAGGGCCGGTCCGTAGTGCACTGAAACGGCCTCGATCCGGGATGGATGTTGACATACACACCAAGTTTTCAAAGTTGAGATAGAACCTCTATTCTTGGCCTGGATCTCTATCACAATGATTGGATTGCCTCTTCTCAATTCATAGTTGACCTGGCCATAGTTATGGCCGACTTCTATAGGTACCGTGGCTCAGCTTCCAAGCTGCATGAGCCAACCCCACTCGTCTTCTAGGTCCTCGTTCTCACCCTCGTCCTTCTCATCATCAGCTTCTTCGTCATCCTCATACTCATCTTCGCCATTGTCCTTCTCATCACCCAACATTCCATATTTCAAATTCTTCTCGACTTGAGCCTTGTCATTTTTCCATGGCAAATAATACAATTGATATGCAATCACAACAGGTCCATCCATTTTCCCCGAAGCCGACCAATTTCTGCTCCTGTCCATGACCCCAGAGGCTTGTAGACCTGCCGCTTGGTGCGGATCTAGAGGAAATCCGGCATCAGCGTTTGCTCCGCGGTGGCGCTTCTCTGCGACATATCTCTCCATGTCTGTGGCGACCTTGATGCCCGTGATCATGAATAGTCGTCCTGGCTTGGTGGGATCGAGCCTGAGTTTTCTTAACGACTCTGCATCCTGGCCGAGCGACTCGAGCCGCTTGTTAACATACTGATGGAGGATATCGCCCTCCATGGCGATCCGGTATGTCTCGACCTTTCCAATCTTCAAGGCAACATCCCCTTCTTGCGAAGAGTCAAAGCCCGCGCCGATACCAAGAAAAGAACACAGCTTTGCTTTGAGGCTGGCAGTCAGGCGCTTACTTATGTTGAAGATGAGTTCGACATCACGCTCGGTTGCGTGGAGCTGCATGAGGACGCCGTTCGGCCCTGGTCCGGCGAACGGCTGCTGATCGACCTTTCTACGATCCCTGAAAATGTTACCAATGGCAATCTGCGAAGTGGGCTGGCCAGGTTCTGGGACAAGAATGTAACTGTGCTCTGATACCATGGTGGGATGATGTTGTAGGGACTAGGTTGGAGTTTTTGGTTTGCCGTAGGATGATCTTGGAGAAGATGAAGCGGTGTCAGATTGGAAGAGGGATACTGGGATGGGACCAAGGCAGGGGATAAAGGATAGAATTTATGTTCAATGATAATGCCCAGGCTGAAAGGGATAGCTGTGTGTACACCAATGACGGCAATGCACGCCTTGCCACCAAGGGACATGGAGGGCCGCATGTCAGTTCCATTGGAGAACGGAGGCCTCCGAATGCTCGCCTCACCTTCAGAGGTGCATGAGGCGTATTTCTGAAGCCGAATGAGTATGCCTGGGCGAACCACGCTGCACATTTCTCATGATATGCAACCACCACTTGGTAATGCTTACCGGCTGTTGTGAATTTATTTCAACCTGTATCCGTACTGTGATACAGCCTACTGAGATCTCAAGTAGGTATGCCCCTCTCGACTCTTTTAAATTGCTCTATCGCAACGATGGACCGTCGTTCATGGTCTCTCTTGGCGGTGTAACCGGGGTAGCAACTTTCCCATCCCTCCCAGGGTAGCACTTCGGAATCCCACTCATGAACCCACTGCGTTCTCATTGTAGTGTTGCCGCTCGCCATTATGCGGCTGGTGGAACCCGAGAGCCCAGATCCGCTGATGGTTGCCATGACTGAGGATGTACAGGAGATCCAAGTATCCAGTGATTGCTGTTCAAAATTAGGAGCTGGTAAGTCATCTTCACTCAGCTTCCGTCGCTTCGTCGGAGGGCCATCGCTTATCATCGCTGGCTCGGGTGATGGCGCTGATCTCTGCCCAACATTTTGCGGAACTACCAAAGGCGAAGTTCTCCTGGCAGCGCTGCGACGGCTATGGTGGTCTCCGCGCTTTGGCAATCTGGTCGTTGAGGATTGTTTGGACCCAGTCGGAATCTTTGACAGATTACTGGGGCTGATAGCTTGCGGGCGATTAGGAACTGGTTGACCTTCTGTACTCAGCAGATCAATCGGCATGGCTATGTTCTCTACAGGCATATTGAGACCAGTGCTGCCTAGTGCGTCGGACGGTTCGATTGGTGACACCGGTACTGCCGTCGATGCCCTATGCAAGTCTCTATTCAGCTGCTCAGCCTGATCTCCTTCCAAAGTGGACGCAAATTGCAGAACATACGTATCGTTATATAAAAGTGCCTTCAAGGCGAAGCCAAACAAGCAGCTGGCGATATGATCCAGAGACCGATCCCCCAAGGCGATTTCGGGACAAAACGGGCATTCTAAAGGCTTGTCAATCTGCCAACTAGCCGTTTCGGTCGAGACTTCAGGGTCCCCGAGCTTGAGAACGGCAGCATGCAATTTGTCGAGTCGTTTCGCCTCCAGATGTTTTCTCAGGGTTTTAAGACTGTCGAAACTGATTGCCGGGTCGCAATAATAGCATGTCCACCTCTGCACGCCGTGCGCACGTTCTAGGTGTGATCTCCAGTCAAATTCGGATGTGAAGAACAAGTTCGGATGCTGACATTCCGATACAACACACGTAAAAGGTGCAAGATCGGCCATGACGTGCTCCCTAGGGGATCTGTTAGGCATGAGACTGATAAAAGAGATAAGGGAATTAACTTCACCTCCAATGATCTGCACGAGCTAGATATACCGGCAGATTCTCGAAACAGTGAGGACATTCAAAGACCTTGCTACCAGTTGCCACTGGAGGTGGTAGGACAGGATAAAGTCCTTGGCCTTGTGGCGAAGTGCCTAATTTGGACTCAGCCTTTCGCTTTCTGGCATTCTGTAGACGAACACGTCGTTTTGAGTTTGCTTCAACCAGTCGATCTCGTACAGCTGTGATACTCTGGACACGGCCTTTGTCTGTGTCGGCCAGTAACGGATCGTACTCTGAGAGGAGGGTGGATTTAAAAGACACCAAGTCCTCATCTGCTTCATCTCCAAAGGATGACTCAGAGTCCCAGAGGCGGGTAAAGGGAAGAGATCGGAGAAAGTCAGTCGTAAGGGTGAATAGTTGTCTGAGCACAGATTCGGCTCCTTGGACGTTGGACTCTTCGGTAGGTCCACCTATGTCGAAAAGAAACAAGACGTTGTTAGTCACCGAATACGAGGAAGATTCGTGGCCGAGCTCTCCTGGGATATATATACTTGCCTATTCGGCCGACAGCGTTGACAAAGTCATCAAGCATCCACAAAAGATTTCGCAGAATGCAGCTGTCCTGTCTCCGCGTCACGAGCTTGTCGTCCAAGCTAAATTCTCCCCAAACACCAGCTCCCGAGGAGACGGACCAGGCGTTGAAGCTTATAAGGTTCTCCTCTGCCCATTTCGACTTATTGTGCCGTGCGAAGCAGATGCTCCTGAAGCTGTGGCGACAGGCCAACGTCGCGTCCAGAATTGGGCTACGGAGACGAGGGAAAGGGAATTCGTCTAGAAAGCCAATCCTGTCCCCGGGCGGATGCCAAAGGAGTGCAGCCGCTGGATCCAGCTTGCTTGATGTCGTGATGCGCTCACTCATCTTGGCGGCCGCGCTGATACTTTCGCGATCCCGCGTTGACGACTTGCGATGGCTTCGCCTAAAAGCGGGCATCTGCGGTAGCGGGTGGTGGTCTTTCATAGCACGATGCTCGTGTGAATGCGTTGTTTTCTTCAGGCAGAAGTGCGATGCTGATACGTCCACGTGACTTTTCTGGCCTCGCTGCCTCTTTGGCTGCCTTGTTTGGAGCTATCAACTAAAGCGTCTTGATAGGTAGAAAGTGCTTTGAAAGGTTTGGGTGGCTGAAAGAACGCTGCTTGGCAAGGAGGGGTAAGCAAGCAGCCTACATAGCGATAAATATAATAAATATACTGTGCACCGCATCTTACCCAGTGGCGAGAAGTGGATGACTCCAGATCAATCAATACACACTGTGCACCGCACCATCACATCGCTTAGATGCGTGATGACAGAAATGGTCTTTCAGCTAGTCAGCCCCAGATGGCCCAGACGCCTAATTTCGGGATCCAAGTGTCGAGGCTCTGGGGACTCTACCGAGCCCCGGCTAAAATCGGGTCACTAAACCTGCTAGCTGTATCTCGGTAGGTAGGAAGGAAGATATCGTCCATTCCAGTGCTGATGCCTGAAATCCCGTCTGTGTAAATTCAAGGACAAGAACCAGGCCCTTGTACCTATCCGAGGTGAAGTGTGACTGCACGGACCTAATCAAGGTTGCGGAGACTATGACAGTCAGTGGAGTCATCCAGGATCGCTGGGTCCATCAATGAGATGTTAGTCATGCAATCGATTACTGCAGCGCGGGTTAGAGATGTGATATCCTACTTGCACTGCATCCCAAGATCTCTCGCAACAGGTTGGTCTTCTGAGCCATTCAAGCCTCTTTCTGATTGGCTGGTTTGCAGAGACCTGCAGAAGCCCCGGCGCTTACGGGGGAGCTTTATCGCGCGTCAGAACTTGATGGTAGCTAAACCATCCCCCCCAGGCATTTAGTTCAGTTCAGAGTGAAGTAGGTATCAAGCTCAATTACATCTTACGTTTTATTGATGGAAATGCAGTCGCTGGAGCGTCCAGTGGCGGCTGAGGCCCTGGCGCGTATCGCCGAGGAGAGCTCCAGAATCATAGCCCCCAGCGGCGAGCAGAGGTTGCGCCTCATCAGCCTTATCGAATTGAGACGACTGTCGTTCACCCTACCACCCAACACTCCAGAACTTGAGATTCTGTTGCGGTTCCTGGAAGACACCTGTCTTGTATGGATCAGCCATCGCCATCTACATATTTTTGAGCTCGCTAATCAGATCTTCAGAAAACATACTCCAGCGATTCGTCTTGGGAGCCTGACTCCGAGCTAACATCCACGACTTACCCCAAGCTGTCTTCCGTTGCCCGGATCGAAAAAGGCAAAGCCAATCCTAAACTCCAATCTTCCATTCGACACGCAATTGAGTGCAACTTTCCCGTCAGGGTCGATGTCCTCATTGACCAAGTTTGTGCCTCGAGGGACGGGTCACGAGCTGGAGGAGTGTCTTCAAACGCGGCACAAAACCCAGTCAATAACGTGCTCGATTACATCGATGGATCGATTTCTCACGGACGTAAGCGTCGGATTGAAATCGAGTCGGACGAGTCCCAAATGAACCGACCTGCCAAGATGCGACGCAACTCAGAGGGTTCAGCAACACTTGATCTCCAACGCAGTCTCCCATCGGAAAAAGAGTCTCAGCGCGAAGAAGATGTGCTATACTCTGCCTTGAATCCCCAGATCCTATGCCATGCGCTTCAGCCGCAAGAAAACCATCTCCGGACCTTTCACCTACGACTTGACGATCCAAAGTCACCTCCAAACCCGGAGGGTACCTGGATATACGAGGCTATTTTCAACGCTTCCATACCCGGAAGCACCAGACACGGGTGCATAAAGGGGGGCGGTACAAAGTGCTACCATGAGGCAGAAGTAAATGTAATCAGTAGGTATGTATCTATCTCCCATGCGATGGAAACATGAAATACGAGTTCGGGTGCTGATGCATTTCAGAGCAGAAATGAGCCGACGAAGGCAACCGGAACAGAGTGTGAAGGAAGTCGTGGAAGGGACGTTTTGTCAAAGCTATATTTCTCCCAGTCACGGGTGCCGCCTTTGCCTACTCTCCTCAGAGTTAGAAAACGCGAAACCCATTCTTTACGCTACAGCAGACACGGCCAGGGCCCTTGAAGCGCATATGCCTGAGCATGATTCACAGCTCCCCGATGCCCGACGCCTAACATGCCGTGCAGGCAACAGAGAAGCACCTCGACTACTAGAGCGGGATGTCGCAAAAATGTCGGTTCACGACAAGGTTTTTTTGGCCTACGTCGTCGGTAGGTCCGTCAGCCAGTACTACAATACTCGACTCGCAGCCCAGCAACTGTGGACGCTCCAAACCCTGTCCACAATCCCCGACATAGAGGGTCCGCCGGAGCCTCAGATCGGGCCTGCCACTGGCCTGTCCCTCTTCTCACATCGGCACCCTTACATCCGAATTGATTTTAAGACAGAAGATGAGCTCAGACGCGTTTATCACAGCGACCTGGGAATGGACTTTCACCAAGATCGTGGAGGTGCGAGATTCTACCCTGGTCCGATCTCTCTCGGCCTTCTGCTTCTCGATATTTGGGGGGACTTGGATCTAACAAACGACTTGACGTGGCCAGAGGCACACGTGCGGCGAGCTCAGTATGCAGGGTATGCTCGGTCACAGTTTGAAGGCCATCAGCTTGTCCAACAGGCAATCGTGAATTGCTTGGACGTCAACCTTTTCGCTCGCGGTCCAGGCAAAACCCATACGCGTCTGACGGAGAAACGAAACTGGCTCATACGCAATGTCGTTCACCCGTTGAGGCTGCTTTATCTATCCACGTTCCATGCGGACACTTTAGCGCAGCCAGATCTCCATATTCGGACAATAGGATACCCTAGTCGAGCTGATGTCAGTACCTCGGCCAAGATTGAGCAGTACAAGAGCTTTATCAATTTCCTGGAAAAGCCCAGAGGGGGGCGAAAAGAGGCGTATGTAATTTCTCTTCCGTTGTTGACTTGTCTGATTTGTTTGACCACATTAGGACGGAAGGTATTGAATGGATATCAGACTTTCTAGACCTCAGTCGTGATGTCCACGACCGTGTTAAAAGCAAGGGGAAACAGCCAAAGATTTGTATTTTGGATACTGGATGCGATCCAGATTGCAACTTTTTCAAGAGAGAACGTGCAGGTGACCCTAATGACTTGAACAGAATAGTTTGGCGAGATTTTGCCACCCCAACAAGTGCGGGCATGATTGACGAGGATGGTGCAGAAGCTGGCAGCTTTGGTACAAGAGGGAAGCACGGCACAAGCATCGCCACCCTTCTTCTCATGTTGCTTCCGCAGGCCAACATCTATGTCGCCCGCATCGCCCCCGACAGGAGAGATATGGTCAACCGCCAGACACATGACGGGGTTTTGGATAGTATTAGACGGGTGAGTCAAGCTTACCCTGATAGGTTTTTCTACCGAGATATTGTGCTGACAGAGCCTCTATCAGGCCATACACCATGCTGCAACTGTGTGGATGGTTGACATCATCTCCATGTCCTTTGGCTACATGACAGAACCGGCGGTCCTGAAGGTGGCCATTGAAGACGCCATAAGAGATAGGAGAAACGGACATCTTCATCCAAAGCTCATCATGCTAGCCGCGGCCAGCAATGAAGGCGGCCTCTCACCGGAACTAGCTCCTGCTTGTTGGCCCGAAGTCATATCTGTCAGGGGAACCACATCGCGGGGCAAATTTCTGGAGGAGTATAACCCGCACGAATCGAAGAGCTTGCCCCCTCACTTAGGAACCCTTGTCCAGGGAGTTCCTTGTGGTTATGGCTTTCGGCAGGGAACGTCTTTCGCGGCCCCAATCATGGCTGCAACAGCGGGCTTGGTTCAGTTATACGTGTCATTTCTCATCGATAAGGAAATCGAGTCTGGGAACCCTGAGAGAGCGGATCTTTACTCTAGGGTATACGAGACAGAGGGGATGCGCCAGATCCTGGCGACATTTACGGCATCGGGATCCGGTGGAGATGGTACACGAGCAGTCAAGCCGCAGTTATGGAGTTCGCTACAGAACTGGGAGGGTACAATATGGCATGCTTTGGCGCAAATGAAGACGCCTGGTTGAGGTGGGAGAGACTAAGTTCTGTGTGCTGATTTAAGCTCTCAGCCACAAGTTAACACTATTGCCACTCAAAGTTCCTGCGAGTATAACCTTGATATGTAGTTATAAAATGAGTACTCAAGTTCATTTTTGACCTCTCTCAATTTCATATCCCTAATATTTCCGTCATTTATAGGATCTTTGTGTCAACAAAGTCAACAATCCCCGTCATGCCACTCCCACCTTCAGGCAATCTTTTCACGATCGAGTCTCAGCCTACTCGCACCATGGTATTCTTCGATCTTGACAACACATTATTCAATCACCAGCAATCAATTTACTCCGCCATGTCCGCCGTACGCACTATACTCCCGCTTCCGCGTGAAATCCCGCTGAACGTGCTTGTTGACAAATACAACGAAGCCCTTGATCATGTTTACGACCAATGTCTCCGAAATGAAATAGCACACGAAGACCAGGATTCAGCAAAGGGCAAGCTCTTTTTTAAGAGTTTAGACCTTGAAGAACCGGACTCTGAATGTATCGCGCGGTTTCGGAGTGTATATAAAAGAATATACAGGGCGAATCGAAAGGCTATGCCGGGAAGCATCGAGACCTTGAGAAGCCTTCGGAAGAATGGCTATCGCACTGCTATCATCACAAACGGCCCGACCGAAATTCAGTTAGAAAAGGCTAAAGCCATTGGCGTCTTCGATCTCGTTGAGTGCGTCATCACATCACAAGACGCTGGCCATCCTAAGCCTGATGTCAGGATCTTCCAGTATGCGCTAGAAAAGCTGGAGGTGGAACCAGATGACGCGTATATGGTTGGTGATTCTGTCAAGGCTGATATCAAGGGTGCTCTGGATGCGAAAATAACGCCTATTTTGTACTACCCCGCTTCCAACAGCTCCTTGAAAGTTCTGTTTGGAAGGGAAATTCCGGTTATCCGTCAATTCGATCAGCTACCTATGATTCTGGAGCCTCCATTAGATTCCAGCTTGGACTGAGCTTCCCTATACCAACTCAGAAGACGATCTGGGTATAGTCACCGCATAGAATTCCTTTGGATTATATAGAGGCATTTCTCTTACAATGCGCTTTGTACCTTGAAAGGCTAAGGTAGATTATAGCAAGAATGGACTTTGGAGATGCTTGGATACCTTTCGGGGCTGATATGCAAACTTAAAAACAGATATAGCAAGAATGGGATTGTTGCGTGAAGTGCCAGTCCTGGATACTGCTTGTTCTTATGTTAATACAAGATGACCATTGATTGCTCCATTGGTATTGGTGCTCATTGACAAAATTCACAAGCCCGCCTGTTTCACTATGACGTTGTGATAGGTAGTAAGCGTACCAGTGCAGGTTAATGAGTGCAATAATGGTTAACCAAAATTTTGTTTCAAGAGAGATATAAGAGAAACAATATAATAAATTGCTAGCTAGGTTCCCGCCCAGAGAAGGTCAAGCCATGCGGCCATGTCCTCAAAATACCCAAGCTGCCTGCCTCAGTCTTTTGTTGCACTAGGAAGACTGAGGCTTGGAACTCTTTGGCAGCGAAGAGGAGCTTATGCAAAGTTCTCTATGCCGATTCAAGCTCCCCGCCACAAGCTTCAACTACAAAGCATACATCTAGCTCATAACTTAAGGAGCTCCGACATTAGTGGTGTAGCTAAGATGGATAGCACTATGCAGCGAGCTGTTACCGTTTCCCATTGGGATCGGGTAGTAGACGTGGCAGGCATGAATGTAACCATCTTGAGTTGAGACTTCCGCATTGACTTTGGCGATAGGATTCTCGCTCTTAGAAAGCTCTGCGAGATCCTGTGGTCCAGTCTTTGCAAAGAAAACCTGTCCAATCTCATTGACAGTATCATGAACATGTCCAGAGTCATCTTTCCAAGAAACCGGGATGTTCATAGTTCCCATAAAAGCCGAAAGATCATGATACATCGATGTAGAAGGTTTCCCATCGGACGATAGGCCCTTGGGGTCTGTCCACAAGCCAACAAGGCTGTCATCGACGGTGGTGGTCTGGCCAGTCGTCTTCGGGGGTGCCTTGACTCCCGATTTGGCGGTGACAGTTAGCTGATCACTGACGGAGGCAAAGTTCTGATGATATTTGGCGAGCTTTTGTGAGTCCGTCTCAATTTCCTGGCTGTTCAGAGTAGTATCAGCGGCAAAGGCGTGGGTGCTATTATCCAGAGTGAGGAGACCAGCTATTTTGCCAACTGTCCCGACGGCGGATGCAATATCGCCCGAGTGGTCGAGGACCCAGCCACCAGCTGACTTGACGCCGTCCCAGAGGTTATCAAAGAAACCCATGGTAAAGGTGAAGAAGAAAAGTGAAATAGGGTCGGATGATTGTGTGTTTCAAGAATAGGTCTGTATAGAGAAAGAGAAGCTATTGATGGTGAGTGGCGAGAAGGCGATCTCAACGACTTTATAGGGAACGTTCGCTTCTAAGCATTTCTTGTTGCTTATGTCTCAGTCCTGAAAAGCATTCTTGCCCCGATTCGGTCTTGTCACATACTTGAGGCGGGTCAGCTGAGGGTCATTGATTCCAGGCCTCAACCAAGCTGAGCTTGGAGTCTCCGCCACGCTATTTGACATAGCTTCCCGTATCATACGTGCATCCAGGTGATTGGTGTTCAGTTGCCGCAACGATAGTTTGAGGCTTGAAGCTTTGCCTATTTGAGCCGGTTGCTAGGCGGATCTGATGTTCTGCAAGAGAAAAGAACGGTAAATTAAGCGAGGTCAGCCAGCCACATTTCCTTTAGTTTATGAACTAAATTCCTTCGGCCACCAAGACAAAGGGAAAGGTTGAACGTTCGTTATTCTGGGAAAATGTCTTGACAATTTGTTATCAGAGTCAATATAAGTTAATCTTAGAAAACGCTTTCATATCTACTTCCAAACAAAGCCACAAGTAACTGATGTTTCAGCCAAAGAATAACGGGTATTCTCAAAGTCTAATGCTAAACACCACCTTCCAAAGTATGACAGACCATACATAATCAAGCGCCCCGAAGATAATATATGGTGAAGTATCGCGAATGGCGGAGCTTAATCGATTCCCAGAGCCTTTATCTGTGTGATCCTTCACATCTTACATATCCAGTCAAGGCTCAATCCCCTCGAGTTAATGCATAGAAATAAATGAGATTTAATTTAACTCTCTCTATAAAGTCAGTTATTTAGAAGTATAAGGCATATAATATAAGCTATTAGCTATAGGGCCAATTAATTTAAGATAATACTTTTCTAAAAGGTAGTTTAAGGAATATATTAATTAATTAATATAATTATATAAAATAAGTTTTATAAGACTTTTTAAAAATAATTATATTTGATATATTAAAAAAATTTAAAATATATTCTTTATAAAATAAAATAGCTACTTTAATTCTCTATTTTAGCCCTTTAACTTAATATTATTAAAAATACTGGTATTTAGAAGTAATATACCAGGACCAATATAAGCAAGAGAACGAGAATAGGCCTTATGGCAGTAATGTGAGCCTTTCTTATGACGTTGTGATTCTCGATATAGATCAAAACACGACTGGCTTTTACGAGATGAAGGAATGGAAGAGCCAAAGAAATCAACAGGGATTCAACACAAGAAAGAGATTCGGGAGTCTGTGGCACCCCAGCCTAAGGATCGGTCAGGCTGTTCGCAATAGAATGGGCCTGGAAAGTGTATGTTAGGCGAGCAAGAATGTTGATCGATTTCTATGTGCGACACTGACGTGTTCATATAAGGGAAAGTTCCAGTAAACGACTTTCCACGTAACACAATGGATAATTTACTGCCCAAGGCCTAGTGTACAACAATTGAGGTCTCCATTAGACCAATAGTAGGGTGCAGGGCATCAAGATTGATGTCTAAGGAGGGCTCATTTGCAGCAAAATGCTGATGACATAATTCAATTGGGTACCGCCGCTGCTGAGGTTGCCTAACGAAACACTAGACAAATCTCTCCCTCAATCTGCTTGCAGATTTACCAGCTACAGGAGCCTAAAAGATCAGCGATTTATCAGCATACCAGACAGATCCGATACTTAATCAACGGCAGAGAAACATGATATATCAATGATGGTTTAGATCTACTTCAACAGAACGCGCTAGAGGTCGCCTATTTATGGTCACCGAACCTCCCAGGATCAAAGACATAGCATGAGAATCCGGGCATGAATATATCTCCACTCTTTCTAATTTAGTGGCCTGTTGCAGCAGCGATTTGGTTATAGGGCCGCCTATTTTGAGGCCTGCTAGCTACCGTGGCCAAGCCAATGAGATTTCCCTTCAGTACAGCCAAGCCGCCAATTAGAAGAGGTATACACAGCTGTGCTGTTTGGGTTTCAAAAGCCTTGGGTACAATAAAAGCTCACCGAAAAACGAGTTTTATATATATATCTGGTGGCAAAATGAATTGTATCTGCCTTGCAAATATCCAGGAACTACCGCAACATTTAGATAAGTATCCATTACTCAAGAAAGCCATGTGCGACGACAGATCTTATTACAGGCCTTCCGTGAACCAGCGGCCTCAATCTCATCACACAAATCTCGCCCTGCCCTATCGGGGCGCTAGAAACTACAGGGCGGGCGATTGCCAAAGCTCTGCCGCCAATCGATATAGTGAAGCGGTAGGCGAGTGTGCCACACTTGAACCAGACGAATGGCCAGGCGCAGCAACTGAGGCCAATCTGGACCGCCGACATCCTTTTCGGTATTCTGCATCTGCATACCATCGCCTGAAACTGGACCTACTGCAGCAGTCAACAGATTCGTTCGAACGATGGATGCCCGGAGTAGTATACAGCGCGCCACCGGAAGATAGGTTGCAGCCCCAGGAACGATTCAGAACGCCTCGTTGCAATTCAAGCAGGCGGCAAGTGAAGCAGGAAGACGACATTGACGACGACGACTTTGTTTTTGTTTCATATGCAGCCCTCACCAAGGCATTCTTTCACTTTGCTTGTCCGTTCTACATCTACGACCCAGAGAAACACCG